TCTTCCTGCTGCGTGACTTGCAGCAGCACGGTTAGGCTTGTGTGGTACAGTTGGCCTCAGAGGCCAACAATGCTAATATCTTCACAAAGCCACTGCCGCCTCGTGACCATCAGCGCTTCTGTACGCAGCTCGGTCTAGTCCCAGTAGCAGCTCCGCTCGTTGATATACGTGTTCCTTGATCTATACTATACCTACTTGTACTTGCTGTACGATACCTGCATGTCCTGTTACACTTGCTGACTGGCCTTGTTGCCACTTGTCTCAGCGGTCAGACTAGTAGTGCTACCCTGAGTAGTCATGTTACATACCTTCACCAGAGGTCAGACTAGTAGTGCTGCCCTGGTTTGTTCTGGTTTGTCAGGCGCTCCCTCTACCTAGGATAGGGGGTGTGTCAACTAATAAACATATATTTTCTCGTTTGGATATATGTGTTTGTGTATCCTAGCTAGGTCAGCTCTTAGAGGGTACAACCCCTAATAATTGTATCTTCCCTCCCACTTTCTAGTTCACTTCTCTCTCGCTGTTGTAACAGGAAAAGCCTACTTGGTTCGGCCCGAAAGGTCTGGAACTGTCCCGAGGCTCTGTATGAGTTCGAGTGTACACGCTAGTAATACAACCCGGTAAGGAATGGATCACCCCCCCCCCCCCCCCCCCCCACCCTTTTTAGTGAAGGTGATCTATATCAGCCACTTGCGCGATTTCTTTTTTGCAAGTATCGAAGGTGACTTTATCTCGTCTGAGGGCAACCATGTGTCGTCCTCGCTGGTATAATTAGTCCAACATATCAGACAGACAACATGTCGTCCGTGATCGTCAACACGAATTCGGTGGCTCAAAATCTTGGATGGATCGTACACCTGGAATCAATTGCTGTCGAGCGACGTCCGATGTGTCGGGGATGAAGGGTCGCAACAGGCTTTCGTGGAACGTGTCATAAATACGCCAATCTTCAGGTAGCTGTAGTTGGACGGTCACCGGTATCACCATCTTCATAATTTTGAATGGTCCACAGTAACGTGGTCGTAACCATTTTTAGTAGTCGCAGTCGTAAAATCTTCATGTCTAGAGGACCAGTTGCCATGCTGCCATGGTAAACCCCTGTGCTGTCACGCAGTGGTGTTAGCTTTTTGAATGAGTTCGATGGCTTTATCCCAGGCAGTTGGTAGTTCTGCTATGAATTGCTGCGATCCCGGGACCTGACTTTCGATGTTGGTGGAGATAGGTACAGTCGGATCCATTCTGTAATCGAGGTAGAAAGGGGAGCGATTAGTCGTCAAGAAGGGCGTTGTTGTATAAAATTCCAACAAGGGCAGCACGTCCTCCCAATTGTTTCCGTCGGGGCAATTTGTTCGTATCAGCTGCTCCATGGTTTGGTTTCTCCGCTCTGTCTTCATGGCCTTACCAAGCACATGAAGGTGAAGTGGCATTGGGTGAAGTGGCATTGGGTGATGTCATCATATGCTATCACATTCTGTCTGCCTCCCATCCCATGTTTTTTCAACTTGCATGTGTGGTTTGAATGTGCAAGCATTTGTGTGTGGTGTGTTCTGGAGTTTGGGAATGTGTTTTGTGTTATTCTGTCTGAGCAGGTATTTGTGATAATAGATCTTGAGAAGATCTTTCCGACGCAACAAGAATCGCTTCAATCGGAGCAAGAACGCGAAAGCTATGAAGATTCAAAGTTCATGAGCTTGCGTTACAATTGCGGCGGTTACTAAGTGAAGTTGTGGGGTGACTTTATATGGAGTTGGGACCTTTGGGGTTGGGGAAACTTGTCACTCTACTGTAACAGCTGCAAATTGGTTGGGAACAACCAAGCTAGGTTGGCAAGGGTGGCCAACTTGGATGGATTGGTTGGGAAGGGACAAATGTCAAAGTTGGGGTTCCTATAGGGAGGGAATCTTTGTGCTTATGGGGTTTTCCTTGGTTGGGGACTCTCTTGGGACCTTCCCTCTCATCCCTCTCTTCCTATCCCAACCTTTCTCTTGCTCCTTCTAATTCCTTGTGAGATTCTTGAACTTTGATTGAACCTTTGAGATTGAGTTAAGTTCTCCTCCTACAGCTTACCCCCTAGTGCGTCGAAAGCCATAGCGTCGCGAATACTTTATCAATCAACATGATTCAAATTGGGAACGGTAGCTGAGATTAAGAGCTACAACATATCCAAGTTTCGCGACATTCCAACGGCTAGTTGTTTGTCGACGTCGTTTCTTGTGAAGACGACTTTTCTGTCCAGAATTTCGGATTTATATTTTGAGTAATTCTAGCTCCTAAGTTCACCTAGACTCTGTCCTTAATCCTAACAAGTGGTATCAGAGCAATATTAAGGACATTGAGAGGAGTCTACAGAAGTTTGAAGACCCTTCTAGACCCACCATGGCCTGTGGGTGTGCCTAAGTGGTGTTCTAAAGGTTGGATGTGTCTTCCGCTAAGGGGAAACTCTGCCGAAATTTCGTGGACGCCGACACTTGTGAAAATATCGAGGGAGCTGAGTGTGGACAGCAAAGGGGAGCTGAAATTCGTCATTTCTCAAGGAGAAGATGAATGAGAGAGGAGGAGATGCTAATGGAAGAGGAGCTGTACCTGAGAAGACAAGTGAGCCGCCGCCATCAAAAGTTGAAGCTTTGGATGGCTCCAACTATGAGGAATGGAGCGGACGGATGAGGAGTGCCTTCAAACGCTACAAGCTACTGAAGATTGCTGTTGGGGAAGAGAAGATGCCGGAAGAAGGCGAAGCACGTGAACGGTGGATTGAGAAAAGCACGGTGCTTTTCGACCTCATCCTTCAATCGGTCAACAAGGAGATGTTCGAGCACATCAAGGATCTTGTGGAAGCGGATGATTCGGGTCCAAGGGCGTGGAAACTACTACGCGATGTGATTCAGCCCAACACTCTCCTGATGGTGATCGTGCTCGAGAAGGAACTTGCTGCCATCTCCATGCGACCAGGGGACGATGTGAAGCCGGTCCTTGACAAGATCAAGGACACCTATGCAAGGATGGCAGCAGCGGGCAGCAGTGTATCTCAGCTGCAGCAGTGCACCAAGATCATCTCGGTGTTGGACAACTCTTGGGACAACCTCATCCCCACCCTCAACTCTCAACAAGATCAATGGACACCTGAGTGGCTAAGGCAGCAGATTCTGCAGGAGGACTTCCGCAGACGCCATGTGGGAGGCGGTGCTGCCACTAAGACTGCTGAGGGGTATGGAGCTGCAGGGCGCGGCAGAGGAAGAGGGGGTTGGAGAGGCCGAGGCCGTGGGAGGAGCTTTGGCAGAGGTAGAGGCCGAGGTGACTATAATGAGGGGCATGGGAGCTCTAGTGGCAGGGGGAGTACCAGAATGGAGGGCACCTGCTGGTACTGCAAGAAGATAGGGCATCCTTGGTTCAAGTGCTTCAGCAGGCCGGAGGGATGGGCACCTCCAGGCATGAAGCCACCCAGTGGTGAACGCGCACAAGGTGGCGCTGTGCAAGGCTCAGGTGCACAAGGTGAAGGTGCACAAGGTAATGCCTATCCTGGTTTGTTTCTTATGGTTGAGGATGTGCATGGGCATGAGGGTGATGTGGGATTTGTGGGAAAGGTTGTGATGCACCCTCTCACGCACTGGGTGATTGATTCGGGTTGCACCAGTCACATGACCCCACGGGCAGATTTGCTTGATGAGGTAAAACCCCCTGGGAAGATTAAGTATGTGGCAGCAGCGTCAGGTGCTTTGCTCCCCGTGATTGGTGTTGGGAATGCCAAGGTTAAGGGAGCTAATGGGGAGCTTGTGGGGCTTGGGAATGTTCTGCTGGTTAAAGGCTTGTCTGCTAACCTTCTCTCTGTGCGGCGGCTGCAGAAGAGTAAGGCCGAAGTGACCTTTGGACCAACCAGCTGCCGTGCTAAGCTTGGGAAGAAGGTGCTGTGGAGTCTGGAAGAGGAGACCAGCTGCATCAAGGACCTGTGGCAGCTGCCCATCATCCCTTGGAATGGGAAGACTCCAACAGCAGCAACGGCAGCAGTGGCAAAGGCAACAGCAGGAGGAGATGCAACTGCACCAACTGATGGGGTGCTGGAAGCAGTCAAGAAAGTGCAGAAGCAGCAGACACATGGTGAGGTGCTTGCTGGTGTGGATGCGAGTGCGGCATGGGCTAAGGCTTCATCAAGGAGTGGAGAGGCCGATTGGGAGACATGGCATGAGAGGTTGTGTCATGTGAACTTCCCTATGCTGCAGAAGTTGGTGAAGAATGGGAGCCTGAAGGGCTTGGAGGTGAAAGGGGAAGTGAAGGAGATTGGGAGCTGCCCTACATGCTTGGAGACCAAGTTCTCCAAGTTCCCCTTCAACAGTGCAACTGGACCATCCAAGACCCCACTTGCACTTGTGCACATGGATGTGGTGGGGCCCACAAGAGCCCCTTCCCTCTCAGGCAGCCGCTATTTCTTGACAATTGTGGATGACCACACTTGGGCAGTGTGGGTTTACCCTTTGAAGAGCAAGGGGGAGGTGGCAGCGGCTGTCCTTAAGGAGTGGATGCCGAGAGCTCAGAGGGAATGCGGACACAAGGTGAAGGTGATCCGTAGTGACAATGGTGGGGAGTTCATTGGAGCTGATTTTGAGGGGGAGTTGAAGAGGAAGGGGATCCAGCATCAACTGACAGTGCCCTACAACCCACAGCAGAATGGCGTGGCTGAGAGGTTCAACAGGACCCTGCAGGAGGGGGCACGCACTCTCCTTGGGCGTGCAGGGCTGCCTGATCCGTTTTGGGTGTCTGCACTGAGGCAGGTCGCCCTTGTGAAGAACAGGGTGCTGGCTACAGTTGGAGATAAGGAGTGGATCCCATACGTCAAGTGGTATGGGAGTGCTCCAGCTGTGAACATGCTGAGGGCATTTGGGTGCATGGTGGTGTTTCATGTGCCTAAGGAGAAAAGGGGGAAGTTGGAGGCTTCTGGAAGATGGGGTGTGCACTTGGGGATTGCAAAGGATCACAAGGGGTGGCTGCTATGGGACTTGACCACCCAGAAGTTGACAGTGTCAAGGGATGTGAAGTTTCTTGAGTCCCTGTACTACAAGGAATGGAAGCAGCAGCAACAGAAGCTTCCATCTACACCGCTCATTGTGGAGGCAGATGAGGTGCAGCAGCCTTCAAGACAGGTGGAGGTGGCAGTGTCAGAGGAGGAGATGTCTGGGGTGACTGAGGAAGGGGGAGCAGCTGAAGTAGAGCAGCAGCAGCAGCAGCAGCATGAGTCTCCACCTCGAGTTCCACACCCGCCTGAGCGTCCTAGGAGGGATGTGCGCCCTCCAGTGAGGCTGACCTATGGGGGAAGAGGCAAGCCGAATGTGGTGCAGGCTGGGAGTGTGGTTGAGCAGATTGAGGAAGATGAGATCGCTCACTGCTACTGGGCACCAATCCCTGAGCCCAAGACTCGAGAAGAGGCCTTGAATGGACCAAATGGGGAGAAGTGGAAGGCGAGTGAGGATGAGGAGTTCGGGTCCCTAATTGAGAACGAGACATGGGACCTGTGTGACTTGCCTCCTGGAAAGAAGGCAATCACTTCCAAGATGATCTACAGGCACAAGTATGGACCTGAAGGGGAGCTGACCCGCTACAAGTCTAGGCTTGTGGCACGGGGGTTTCAGCAGACAAAGGGGAAGGACTATGATGAGGTGTTTGCTCCTGTGGGGAAAGGAACAACACTGAGGGTGCTGTTGGCGATAGCT